TTCGATTCGATTCGATTTGAAAAAATCAAATCAAATTCAAATTGCTTAAATATTTGATTCGATTCAATTTTGAGGAATCCTAGCCACACCAATTACCAGTGATTGCATTGATTGTTTTTATAGCTGATATAAAATCGGGCTTTTCTTTTGCACAGGACTTAAAACCAAAGAATAACAAAGACTGACTTCAGATTTCTATAAATCTTTCACACAATTAAGCGAATGCTTCTGAAATAATATTACCTGAAAGAGTACGTATATCATCAATGCCAGTAAAGCCTAGTATTTGAAAAAGTTCCCTTATAACCTCCTAGTGATTTGCTGAATAAGATTTATGCAAGTCCTCTGCCACTGATTTTTCCAGATTCTTTTCGGCTTTATAGCAGGCAATTTCCTATTGTGTAGTATCCTTGGCTTTTAACCCTTCCATTTCACTCTCTTCATCATAACTATGCCTCTGAAATTAAGATAAATGTAAGAAATATTTTCGAGGTTCAGGCGGGCTAAAACATTCCATGAATTTTTATTGCAGAGATTATTCCAATCAACAATATTTATGTCTTTACCACCATAAAGATTTCGCAAATAGAAACGTTTAAGTGCCATAATATCTGAGATAGAGCACTCTTGATCAAACTTAAGATTTTCAGCTTCTTCAAGGCAAAGATTTTGGGAAATAGCAACAGCATTAAAATCTGTTTCTTTAATAACTAATACTTCAACTCTAATCTCATTACAGATTCTTTTACGATTTCCTATTACTCCTCGGCTCTCATCCATTTTATTAATTAGAGAGAAGTACCAGTACTGGCTATAAGACTATAAAGCTTCTCAATAAAATATCTTGTGGAAAGACGTTTCTGATGTTCAACTTCAATGAATGTTATTACAGCTGAAGATTCATCAATTTTATAAGAAATAGCATTGTTATCCCATTCACAGTGACCCTTTATTGCTGTAAGCAAATTATTAGGTCGAGCACTTTCAAGTTCTGCTCAAATATTTTCATGACCTGGTGGATGAAAAAGTTCATTAGAATTTTTCTGATAGAACATGAAAACAATATGACAGGGACAGTCACGAATTCGATAAAGCATTTGTGCAAGAGCCTCAATATAAACTGAAGTGGCAATATTTGTAATAGCTATAACTATATCAAAGTGGCTCGTAACCTCGAATGATATTCCTGCCTCCACTGTATTTATATAAGCTACACAGTTAAGCTCATTCCAAGCGACATCAATATTGGAGAAGTCTTTTTGTCTCTACTTTACATCTCTATTCCCATAATATACACAGGCTTTAACAGGAGAATTATCAGGTTTAGACAACTTAGATGCCTTTTCTACTAACGCTCTAGCCATTACTGCTCCAGTAGATACGAATGCTATGCATTTGCCTTGCCTCAAAAGATCATATTCTATTCGCATGGCTTCAGCTCCACTATTCGGATCATAAACAAATTCAACTGTCTCACCTATACGAGGCTGATACTTATTATCAACTGTGCGAATATTTTCACCACGATAAGTTTGGAGGAAGGTTAGTGCTGATGTATTTGCAAAAGCATCCATAGCCAAAACATGTCTCACAGATCTTAATTCATCACATATTGTATTCTCAGATTCCCATGCATTTGTACTGCTAGACATTTGACGCATAATGGTATTGACTTTATCAAGAATAGCTACAAATGGATGGGCTGTGAACTCAATACGGAAAAGACTCTCAACCTGTACTATGATAATATCCCACTCATTTATAGATAAGTCTCTTTGTATATTTTAATAATTGCAAATTTGAAAAGTAGATGCTTTTAGCTCATTAAGTTTCGTTTTTGATTCATTACTAAGAGACTTTCGGTAAGAAACCCAGATATAACATGGCAAAGAAGAGAGATCAT